CACATGTTGTCATTCTGCTCAATGACACAGATGCTGACTGTTCTCTCCTTTTCAGAGAAAGTTTGAGTTTAAATGATGGATTCAAGAGTCTCGCTTGAAACGTTTGACCATATCCACACTGGATTTGTGATTCTTGGAGTTGTGGCCGTGGCCGTGGCAGGTATAGGTGCATGGGCGTACGTGGAATACATGAGGCGTCAACCCCCAAAGGTTATAATCTCTCCATAAATACTTGTTTTGTCTGACAAATAATAAATACCTGCATTCAAATGTGACATTCATGTTATTATGCAGGATAAACTTCCAGTCAGATTAAAGTGTCCATGTATTTCCCTTTTTGTAGGAAGAAGAAAAACCTGTTAACAAGAAGAACCTTCATTCTGGAGCAAAGTAAAATCCTTCTTGGGTTTTTAGCTCAAGCTTTGATTGAATCCTGACTCTGAAATAAAAAATGATGTCAGACACTGTTGTTCCAAAGTCAGTTTTTTTGTTTCACTGTTACAGCATGTATTCCACCTGTTGGTTTTTATTGTCCTTCCAGCTGGCTGCACCTTAGGGACTGTAGAAACTTTATGCGGGTACTTTTCAGCCAGAAAGCAAACCTTACTGAGTCTCTGATTCAGTCCCTTTTACCTGAACCTCCTTTTCTCCGTTTCAAGACACACTTTGGAAACAGATAACAAGAAGAAGCTTTGTGACTGGGTCACTGAGTGAAGACTGTAGCTTCCAACATTTTTCAATCAAATAAAATGACTCGTGCATTAATAGATGTTGTCACACATGCAGCTATAGAGCATGATCAGTTAACCCTTAAACAACCAGAATGCCCGAGTCCTCTAAACACAAACAAAGATATTTAAAGAATTGAAGAAAAGACAAGAAAATGGTTGCCCATTCACTCCCTCCAATATTTCAGAAATAGGAATCATTCTATTCTATTGTCCTGGTGGCATGATTTGAATATATGTTTCAATAAGATGGAGATATCCAAAGTGAAACATGAACCCTGTGTTTTTTTTTTTTATTGGGTGAAGTAATCTAGCAGGTAAGGCAGACATTCAATCTCAACCTAGAATGAGTTTTTGTTGCATAAAAAATCTGAAATATCACATTACAGACCAATGACTTACAGTGTTTCACCAAAGAACCACTCGTTTAAAAGGACAGATACGAGACACAGATTGTCTCACCTGAACCAAGAAACAGCTGAACAACAAGCAGGACGCTTATCATAAGATTTTGTCTTTTGTGACACATGATTTAAATCTGCGTCACAAAGTCTGTTTCAATAACAAAGAAATGAAAACCGAAAGTACAGATTACCAAACAATTAACCTTTCAAAGGTAATCTTTAACCCTGTGGTGTAGAACATTTGACTTGAACCATCCATGTCCTTCCTTTGACAGAGAATATAATGTCTAAAATTTCCCAGGGTGCTTTGTGGTAGCCTTCTCAGAACCTTCAGAACATTTCTGTCCCGTCAGCAGCAGAGACTTTCAAGTTACGGCCTGTAAATGTTGGAGATCTCAGAGGGGATATTCAGGGACGTTTGTTTGGCTCAGAGACTACACACTGTCTTTTTATCTGTTATGATGCTCACTGTGTTAGAATCACAGAGCCATAAAGTCGTGCTGTGACTTGACAGACAGACATAACCGACTACATGGTGGTACCTGACCAATCATCACGGCCGACGTGATGGTGTTGAAAGGAAGAGGGGCGGACCCGACAACACCCGGAAAAAGTTCTGAAAACAAAAACTGTAGTTGCCAGAGCTACATAGATACAAGACAGACAAGATAAGAGTATGACAAAAAAAAAAATATATATATATATATATGCTGAACAGGTTTTTTTTTTTTAATATTGTGGAGATTCCTTTGCGTAGCCTACCACCGCAGGGAGCCCGCGTGCCACCGGTGGTACACGTACCCTAGTTTGAGACCCACTGGTGTAGGCTATATAGGCCTATGCATACGTATATAGGCTACAGTATATATAGGCTATATACTGTATACTGGAGCTGATCCCAGCTGTCATTGGATGAGAGGCGGTATACACCCTGGACTGTTATATTATATATATATATATATATATAAAACTGTGAATTGCCTGTCAGCACCTATAGCCTATATCTTATCAGATTTAAAGCTGTACGTCTGCCTTTACTCACGCTTACTTTTCTAGATCCTTGCTTGTGTTGTACTTACTCTCTGATGTACGTTGCTCTGGATAACAGCGTCTGCTTAATGGATTGTAGAATGCATGCAGATACAAAATGTCACCATAATCAATCAGACAGAAAATGATCTTCCACAAGTGTTTTTCTGGGCACTGAAATGTGCTCAGGTGCTGTGGTAAGTGGAGCAATGCTGCCACTAGAGGGAGACAAAGATCATGAGTTTAATAGAATATCTTTAAGACTTTGAACATCCATTTTCCTGTGAAGTGTGTGTAAACACAGTCTGTGAGCATTGACTGTTTCCTCCCATATTACTTATATTGCTGTTTGTCCTTATTTCAGCCTCTTATTTCTCCAGGTTTCTGTCTCTTCAACATGAGTCTGTTTTTTCCTCTTTACTGTAACTTTGCTAAATGTTGCTTAGTGCTGTGCTTATTGTTCATGTAGGAGTAGTGTTGGGTCTTTAAATAATATAGAAAAGAGTACGGTCCAGACCTGCTCTGTTTGTCTGCAGAAATAATTTGTTATCAATTTTGATGCAATACAAATAAAGACTGATTCCTGTACTTCAAAAAGTACACAATTATACTTGTAAAAAGTATTAGTAGCCTACTGTCGCTCATTTATCTCCTTTTCAACTAGATTATCCAGAGCCTATTTAAGTTCTGTCATCATGTAGGCCTGTTGTTGTTTAGCCTACATGTCGCTGTGTTTTACATGTTTTAGTATGTTTTGTATTAGGTTAGATGTGATCAGGCCAGTACTGACATGATTCAAGTGAAAATTGAATAAAATGTGAGATTTTATATCGGAGGTAGTACTTAGTCCTTGCAGTAGGGGGCGCTATGGTTGAAGTTGACTATTGTTTTGTGTTACTGTGTTCAGAGGCCAACCCTGCTCATACCTATGTAATTTCAAGAAGATCAGACAAAGTATATAAGAGTTACAGCCACTTCCTGTTTGATGGTGATGTGATTTGTGGACTTCCTGTTGAGTTTTGGGTGTGGGTGCAAAAGCCTTTTTTGTAGGTTTTGTCATGTTGGAAATGCATAGTAAAATTCACAATTGTAGGTTCAACGTGCTGCGGGGGCTGAATGTTTGAAATATTATAGGGGGCGCCACTGAGCCATTAAGCCACGCCCACTCACTTAAATGGTATAAGATGTTTGACTTTACTACCAGGATCATATGTATGAAGTTTCGGGACAGTACGACTATGTTAAGCCTGCGAAAAAAGTACTTCCTGTTTGATGGCGAGCGACGCGTCCACAGGGCGACAGCGTTAGACGTAGGCATTTGAGCTTGATGGCCAAGGTGTTAGCATGGTCCACACCAATTTTGAGGGGAAAATGAGCTACCGTGTAGCAATGGCTAATGCTAATTGAGAAGTAATAACTTCCTGTTTTGAACAGTGGCGCTGTGACTAATCAAAAAATGTCAATCATGGATGTGTTCAGGGCGGGTCCTGTATCATGCATGAGACATTTTAATATGATTGAACACTAGATGGCAGAGATATAAACATTTACTTTTTTGGCAACTTGCCAAAACGCTCAAAAAACTTAAAATGCACGCCACGTCCACGCTCTTTGACGAAATAACGTGCAGAGCGCAACAAGATATGCTGATCCTGTCTAGAACGCACGGACACTGAGTTTGCGCCGATCGGATGAGCGCCCTCGGACAAGTGCGTTCAAATAGGAAGGCTGAAATCGGCGCTTTTGGGCCATTATCGTGAAATTGAAGTTTAATTTGTGAACTTCTTGTCGGGTTTTTTTAAACGCTGCAAGAGGATTTTTAGTCCGTCCCGAGAAGCTTAATATGCATACCAATTTTCGTGAGTGTACGTGAAAAAAACCTTTATGGGGAGGCCATTTTGAAAATTTGAAGGGGGCGCCACTGAGCCATTTTGCGAACTCCATTTACGAAACCACCAAAATATCAAGTTTTTCACCAGACCTGATGACCGTGGAAAGTTTGGTGAGTTTTCGGGCACGTTCAGGCCCTCAAAAGTGGCCGCAAAGAGGCAGACTAAGAACGAGAAGAAGAAGAATCGTCATGACATGACCAAAGCCAAATCAATCCAGAGGGAACTAGAACCAACTCTGTTACATTTACAATGCCTTTACTTACTTAGATCCGTTACCCAGGGGACACACATCTCAATGTTCATCTCTGGGAAAATCCTGAAAATCAAAATTAATCACTTCTCAGTTTTTTTCAGAGCGTAAGTGGATACTACTCTGTAGCCATGTATGTCATCAGCTGGGCTGTTGCTTATTTCCACATTTCATGACCAGAAACCAGTTTTGCAAAATAACTACTAACCAGCACTCATCAGTAAAACTTGAGCTTCATTTGGTTTCCATTCTAGTCACTGCTATTCTGTATCTGTTGTACTTCTAGAAGAACTCTCCATAGTAGCCCATCAAATAAAAAGAAACTGTAGTTTTTATATACACTGTCGTAGTATAGTAATGATCAATCATATTTCAGGGCAGTCGTAGTCTTCTACAAGTACCATACATCATATTTCTTTCTTATACATGAAGTCAAACCTGATAAAGTCATGCAGGCGAAATGCGTTGTTTGTTTGAGTATGTGATTAAATAAAAAGAAGTAATTAAATCACCTTGTGTGCAGTGAATCTTATTTGCTGTTTTCTGCCATCACCTGAACCAAGATAAAAGGACCAACAGTGCTGTGCACAGGGCCTCCACCTTTCATTGATCTGACCGACATTAAGTCATCACTTCAGCGTGTAGAGCTATCAGGGCCAGATAGAGACTGGGACTCAAAAGCCGACTCACACTTGGCTGAGTTCAGAAAAAAGGCAAAGTTTAATACAGTCCAGGTTGGTACACAGAAAGGCAATACTCAAAGCAACAAATCCAAAGGGAGCAGGCAAGAGGCAAAATGGTAAGGCAGGCACGGTCAAAATCACTATTAGGCTTAATAGAGAAAAAGGCTGGAACAAGGTGACACACAGGAAACCACTACGAACTGGCAACACGAGGGAGGAAACACAGGGGTATACACACAGACAATCAGGGGATAACGAGACACAGGTGAACACAATCAGGGCAGGGAGGCTGAGGGCAGGAAAACATGACGAGCAGGATCTGAAAGACAGAGACAAGGGTAAGTACAAAAATAAAACAGGAACAGACAAAATAAATGAGAAAAAACAAAACATGACACTAGATAACTTCACAGATCGTGTCAAAAGCCAGACTTAACTTTAACTACAGTTGTGTTTCAAACTGCTGAGTATCAAGTGGATTAACCCAAACACACACCACAAATATACCTTAATGAAATATAATTTACTGTTATTATACGTATTTGTATGACTTCTGTGGATTCAGCTTCATTATGAATGTAGAAAATCTGAATTATAAACTAGAAGAAAAAGAGAAATCCTAAAGTAAATATGTTTTGCCTCCAACTGTGCTGTAGTACTATTTCATTGAATGTCTTTTTGCTTTGAAATAACTTTGATCCCTACTTTATTTGACATTTTGAGTCCTAACGGGGAGTGTGTGATGGTGATGTCATCAGGCAGGTAAAGGTGCAGATCTCTGGGAGGCAGGTAAACATGACAGGCTACATAACTACAACATGATGACGAGGTTTCAAACTAATAACTGTAGTTTTTATTATAATTTGTCAGAGGAGGAGTCAGATTTTTGTAATTCTCATTGTAGAAACGTGTGTACTTTGCATAATTTCGGAGGATTCAGACTTTTACACTGATGGAGAAATATAGCCCATTGTTCCTTTGATTAAAATGACATAATTTTCCCTTTTTTTATGTGAAAGACCCCTTTGACCCCCCCCCGTCTTTCATGACGCCTCTGCAAGGAAGCATAAAATCATAAAACTGAAACTAAACTTCAAACTTCAGGTTACTGCTGAACGATTCAGTCTTTCAGAGAGAATAAAGACATCATGGCTGTGACTCTGTGAGTATTTTAATCTTCAGCTTGGATGACAGACCTCTGTTTGTGTTCACTGAAGGGATAGAAGGCTTTATTTCTGAGATTCACAGGCAGGTTACAATTAACCCAGGAAATGCTGCCACTTGTTACAGCATCAGATACTCTGTGATGTGTAGTGTTCAGTCATTTAGTCGAACATTACAGACTGAAAATTAAATCTATGACCTGACGATGCCGTCAAATGAAACAATTATAAAGTTAGAATTATTCTGAAGAGAATCTCGACATCCAAACCTCGAGTCAAGCATGAATAATATGATTTACTGTCACAGTGAAGCTGACTGTTTCTGTCTTCTTTACAGGAACAGTTTTAAATGCTCCTTTTTCAATCTAGACGGTTTACATTTATCCAACCAGTCTCTGGTGATGATTGTTGTGGTTCTGGCGGCAGCATGGTACTGGTATTACCACTGGCTAGGTGAGATTAAAAATGTCTACATAATGATTTTGTCTGAAGAATCACGAACCTGCATGAAAAAGTGACATTAATTCTTAAAGGTCCAATAATCATGTGTCTTCTTGTTTTTGTAGGACATTGAAGAGAAAAGCGGGAGTAAAACAAAATGAGTCTTTTTGAAATTCCTGCTAAAGCATCGTTGGATTCCTGACTCTGTAATAAACACAAACATGGCAGACAGTCTGTGTCACTGAAGTACATTTTGTTTCACATTTCCAACATTTATTCAGACTAAAGTTTTTAGGATTCTTTCTGTCGGCTGCATCTTAAACTCGATGAAAACTTCTGGTCAGTAGTGACTTATTTTATCCTGAATGTAATCCTGAGTTGGTCTCATGCATGACTCTCCTACTTCACTCATATTCAGAGGATAAATTTAGCTGCAGTCACAACAGACACACTGTGTCTCTCTCTCAGTAAAAATCTATTTAATTGTAGGTGAATATATTTCATGATTTAATGTTTACTCTATTCACTTCCTCAAACTCTGCTCTGTAAAATGAGGAAACAGAGTAGTTAGTCATATACGTGATGTGAGTCACGTAGATAAGGAAGAGAATAGCAAAATGTGCGGAATGGATACCAAACATTTAACCCTTCAATGGTCTTCTTTAACCCTTTAACCCCCCCCCCCCCCCACAACGAAAATAAAGTTCCTTTAAGGAGGGAGGGCAGAGGGTCTGGTCTGTTAGGTTACAAATACTGCACATTTGCTTCCCAGTTATCTTTCTACCTAGTTTAACTGTCTCATTGTTGTTCCAAAGACCTATCAGAGCAACATCTTCAGCAAATGCAATTAAGATCGTCTAACGTAGCATAAGAGCATCACTGTTAAGAACTGAAACATGGCGTCTATATTATACTCACTTCAAGTGCTGCAGTGTGCTACCCACAGCAATGACTCATTTTGAAATTCCTGCTAAAGCATCGTTGGATTCCTGACCCTGTAATAAACACAAACATGGCAGACAGTCTGTGTCACTGATGTACATTTTTGTTCAACATTTACAGCATTTATTCAGACTGAAGTTTTTATGATTCTTTCTGTCGGCTGCATCTTAATGAAAACTTCTGGTCAGTAGTGACTTATTTTATCCAGAATGTAATCCTGAGTTGGTCTCACGAATGACTCTCCTACTTAATTCATATTCATATAAGATGCATTTAAACGTCACACATTAAACTCGTTTCAACGAGTTTTGATAAGTCCCCAAAACATGTCTGAAGTTTCATCCCAAAAACCCTGTATCCTGTATTTCATCATGCAACCCCTCTAAGCTGATGGTTAATGGTGAAGGACAGTGGGTTTTTCAGTTATAGCCGACCCTGATCAGGGCAGGCAGGTAAAAGTATATCATAATTCTTTGGAGGGGAGGGGGTATTATTTGGGAATATAACATTTGTGTGTTTTGAAAAGAAAAAATGTATTAAAAAATAACTAAATAACTAAAAATATTTTTTTGAAGCAACAACATTTTAAGTAAGCTGATTGAAGACTTCTCATCAATTCAGTTAAATGATTGGAGTTCAGGAAGGACTAATTTACCTGAAATAAAATAAAATCTCAGATGAGAGCTCAGATGAGTTCTCAAATACAATAAAACAATCGTCCATGGAGACTTCTTATAATAGCCAATATATGCAAAAAGAAGTCTTATTCAAACACCTACTGAAAAGGCACAAAAAAAAATATCAACCAATTAAACCTATGGGCCTACTCAAACTTCAGCAGAACTATAAACACCTTTACCCAACAGGGTAATATCACAGCATCACGGAATAGAATATTTTTCTGTCAAGTAAATGCAAATAGACAGCTCAGCAGGGGGATAAAGGTTTGTGGGTTAATCTGGTGTTGTTTTATTCTAATCTCTCTCAATGCATTTCTGACAGAAGTATGCTTTGTAAACACAATCGTTACCTGGTCAGATGACTGTGAAACAGCTTTCGGCACCCTGAAAGCCCACCTGTGCACTTCCCCTGTTCTCAAAAGTCCAGACTTCAACTGACGATTCCTGGTACAGGTTGATGCCTCTGCAGTCGAGCTTGGAGCAGTTCTGGCCCAAGGAGATCCAGGAGAAGAGCATCCAATTCTGTACCTGAGCCGCAAGCTTCAGCCACGTGAGACCAGGTATTCCACGGTGGAGGAGGAGGACCTGGCCATTAAGTGGGGATTGGAAAGTCTGCGGTACTACCTACTTGGACGGGAGTTTGATCTTGAAACGGACCACAGAGCTCTGACCTGGATCAACTCAATGAAGGACCACAACAGTCGCCTAACCAGATGGTATCTTTCACACCAACCGTTCAAGTTCAGCATCTGACAACGATCGGGAAAGTCCAATGTGGTGGCTGACTACCTTTCCAGGTTGCTGCACATCGTCAACCTCCAGGAGGAGAGGGATGATGTGACTGAGCGGCTCCGTCATTGACTGCAGTCAGCACACACACCGACACACGCCAAACTTTTCCCTCTGCCAGTGCGCCTATAATCACTCAGTAAATCCCATCATCCTCCTTTCCCTCTCCGTTTCGCGATCAAGGGTGCATACTTGAGAGCTCTATTTTTGTTTTTCATACATACATATACACACACACACCAAAAAACAAAAAACTAAATAAACTAATATCAAAAATAATCAAATGACCACTGATGCACCATGGGGATGTAATGTAAGCAGGCAAAAGAAATCCAATGTCCATGCAGGAGCTGCGGTATTTTGCTGGTTTATTTGAGGAAAACAAACAAAAGAACAAAGAAAATCGTGGCTCCCGCTGCCTCTCTTGACCTGTTAAAAAACAATAGGCCCACCCAGGTGCATGCCGGTCCTCCACCTGCCGCTTACTTAAATAATCTCCGGTGCCCACAGTATTACCCAAATACCTAACAAAAATACTAATACAAAACTAAATTTACTAAACAAATAACTAGCAAAAAAGAAACGTTACCCAAAATCTTTTCTAAATAAAGAAAACGTGTAGAATAATCAAATAAACAACACCACCCAAATATTAGTAAACTAAATACAAAAACTAATTCTAACCCCAATTAAATAGCTCCAACAATATTGATTCATAGCATTCTTACCGTTGGTGTGTTTCATATGCGCTCCGCTGTGTCCCGTTTGGGTGCCAAACAGAGGCGGCCCATTACCTCATTCTAAATAGGCGGATGCGGCGTGCAATAGTAATCACGTGATTGATTGTTTAATGAAATGTTTGTTTACAATGTATCGCCACAGATACATTGCTGTGGATTAAAATGTGTCATTTAGTGATGAGTAGACCATACGAATGTAACAGGTTAAAAATCGCTCATTCATGAGAAAGTATGTTTTGTTTAAAATGTTATGTCATTCATAACGCCCAGTGGGAGGGGCTTCTTGCTTTAAAAAATGGCTGCTTGCTGCTTTCTGCTTTCAGACAGTCTAGTCCTGGTTACAGAGGAGGTAACGTGTTGGAGACTTCTCTGAAAGAATCCGCAACAGAAACTGTCTGTGAATATTAAAGATTTCAGAACCAATTATTCAAAAAAATATATTTTTTGTCAACAGGTGTTGCCTGTATGTGTCACAAAAAAAACAAACAAAGCGGATAGGACTCACAAGCACGACTCTTTAAAAAAGTCTTAGTAAAAGACGTAATAAAATAAAACACAGCAGAGATCAATATCAAAAAAGTAATTCAGAAGAAACAAAGGCTTGTACGCTTGAGACATGGGACGAGTATGAAATGGCTGAAAAAAAGTTACAGACTAAATACTGAGAGACAATGAGACGGAGCTTGACACAATCACAAAGGTGGGAAACACACGGGGGCAGGAAGTGGAGGATCTGCCAAGATGCAACATCTGCGTGACATCAACTAGTTGCATATTCTACCTTCAACAGAAAGATGAAAGTTGTCTGATGACTTTAAAACTGATGTCTTTGTGTCGTAACTGCTTCAAACTGACAACCACAGACAGAATTACTAAAGGTGTTTGAGCTGAAGTGGTTTTCCATTTTGGATCCTCTAAAAGATCTCCATTTCTCAACCTCTGGTAAAAATAACAAGGCTGCTGTACAATATCCACTCATGCTTTTTGATTTGCAGAAATGTGCTAAACACACCCCTTTTAGGAAGGATATATGCTGTACGTAAAACACAGGTGAACCACTTCTGAACACCGCTGAACGTCTCGGCTCTTCTCCTGACTTTTCAGTGACAAAAAGAAGAAATATCATGGCTTTGATGATGCAAGTCTTTTTAATCTTCAGATATATACTCTTCTGTTTGTGTCCATAGTTCACTGATAAATAGACAAAGGGTTAATATTCAAATTGCAATAGTTTACTTTAACAGGAAGATACTGCCAACATCAGATATTTGAACAAATATAGTTTGAGTTCTCATGAGGCACAAGTTTTGATGCATTAACATGTTGGTGTGTTAATTTGATTGTATGTCTCAGTTGTTATAGTGTCACTTACAGAAGCTGACAGTTCCTCTTTTTTCTTTAGAGAAAGCATGGTTGTGGGAGTGACTGGTATCACAATAACAGGTATATCTGTATCCCTCCCTGCTCTCGTTATAACTGGAGCTGTGATCGTGGCATGTGTAGGTGTATGGATGATATACAAGGAAACACAGAAGGTAATAATATCTCCATAAGATTGTTGTCTTAGGAATAAAAAAGTCTTCATGTAAACGTAACATTTCTGTGATAAAACTGAAAACATTCTAACAGCGGCAGATTAAAAGGTTCATTTTTTCCTTTTTTGTAGGAAGAAGACGACAAAATATGGAACAAAATAAAAAGATTTTTCAAAAATCTATGAAACAAATCCAAAGAAAAGATCTGAACATCCTTCTGCGATAAACACAAAGACGTCAAAGAACATGTTTGTTATGGCATTGCTCCAACAGAGTTTGGTTGTATAACACGCAATGGCAATAAAGATCTATCTATTCACAACTCTTTCAGTTTGAAGAGGCCTTTCTGCTGGTGTTTTGTGAAACTGAGGAAACATATGTGGTCAGTGGTGACATGTTTAAGAATAAACTGTCATAACTCTCTCACCGATCTGATAGTTTCAGTTACATCAAGCAGGCACTTTGTTACTGAATAATACTTCCTTTGTGTGCATTTATTTTACTCCTCAGTCCTTTCTTTTGTGTTTCCTGTTTTATTTAGTGATTCTTGCCTTTTGTGTCATCTCTTCAACCTGTTGTCCTTGTACTGTTTTATTTTAATCAGTCTAGTCTTTACTGTTTCCTCTTGATTTTTTGTTAGGTGGGGGTTGTTTCTGCTGTATAAATTCAGTGATGATTATCGGCCGAGGTCAGAGGGCTTTTCCTTTTAGCCTGCATCAAGCAGTACAGAGACGGGCTTACTCCTAATATTTACAGTCTCGGCTAACTCTGAGGACTTGTAAACTCGTGCCGTAAAGCAGTACGTACCTCTCGTACCGCAGCTTGCGGTCACAAACTTGCATAGTGGAGTATTGAGGCAGTGACCCCTATGCAGACGTTGGAGAGACAACATTCTCCCTGTTGAACTTCGATTACACTGTTAGATTGATTATAGCCATTATTTTATGGTGGAAAAGTTACATATTGGGGCTTTAACTACTCCACATAAACTTTACCACCTGGGTTTAAATTGTACTGTGTTCACTTTTTGTCTGCAATCTTTGCTCTTTGCTGCTGTAACATTGTAAATTTCCCCATTGTGGGATAAATAACGGATTATCTTATCTTAAAAGTAACACTGGCGCCATCTGCTGGTAAACAAAGGGTGTTACAAAATGGCGACCATAGGACGGACTTATTGTCAACACGTGGAATCAATTAAGCTCCCATCAGAAAAGGCACGGCTCATGCCCAGTTAAAACTTAGAAATGTATCATAAAAACTGCTGCAAAACATTCAACAAACTATAAACCGGAGCATAAAGGCAATATCAGGAGCATCCTTTCTCCAGCTTAGCAGTAAGCTACAGGTGTAAATATCAAACAGAGGAATATAAACAAACATTAATGACGACTTAGGTTCTGTCATTGACAACAAAGGTAAAGTTAAACATTGTTGCAGAGTACAGCGAACGTGTAAGCTGCCGCTCTCATCTCCGACGACACGCGCTCAGGTAAACTGCTCATGAGATGCTTACGTCACCAACATGCAGGAGGAGCGTGAGCAATTAACAGGAACGCCATGGACGGTCTGAGCCTTTTATACAGTAGTCCTTCTGCTAGTATTTAATTTCCTGCCTTTGTGTGTTTCCCTCTGATGTGATTTTGTGCCGCACCCAATCTGCAAACTTCCCCTCCCCGCCACCTTTAGCACGGCTGTCAGTGCAGAAAACGTTGTATCTCTCCATTTTAATATATGACAACCTGGAAACTTAAATATGTCTAAGACATGACCATAATGTCAGTGTTAGTTTACTGGGTCCATATTCAAACTATATTCATTTTATGTGTGATGACTCCTCACTCTTTCTCCCTTTCTGCCTGTTTCTGTGGACCTTTCAGAATTGTCACAGTTCAGTAGTCAGTACGTACTTTTCAATATGGAGTTTAAGTATACTGAACTTTCGTGGTCATTCAGTATGCATTTTTTGGGTCCACCTCAGTATACTGAACATTTCAGCATGGATACTAACTTCCGGGTTTTATGCAGTATGGATCGGATGCGTGCTTTCAGGAAATTAATTGTATTTTACCACCCACAATGCTGTGCGAAATTAAACGTAAATCGTCACTTCACGTCCACCTCCAAATCAAAACAAATGTATACATTATTATAAAACCTTTCTCCCTCTTTAAATAATGATTTCATATTTAAATGCATCTTTATTGGTTTATTTTACTTTATATTCTGTATATTACTGTCTTTCATTTGTACTTTCCTTTATGTACTGTATGTTATTTAGTTATTTAATCTGTCTTTTACAAAAAACAAAAAGGGGTGAATGCGGCTGGTTTGGGAAACGTAAATGACGTCACTTCCTTACTGAATGAATCAGACAAAGTAGGAACAAATATCTGCCTACTGAATAGTAGGTACTAAACAGTATACATCACGGATAGTAGGTACTGTCTTCTGTCTACTGTCTATACTGACAGATTAAGAAGGTACTTGGCAATTCGGATGCACCTTCAGTCTTGTGCTCATTCCAAGTGCTTGGACTTGTTATGTGGGTGTAGCTGCGAGGATCCTTATCTGAACATACTCAGCTGATAGGGACACACACACACACACACACACACACACACACACACACACACACACACACACACACAACAGGACCCTCACCATCAACATACTAAGTTGCAAATTATTATTAAGGGATTTCCTGCGTGTCTTTTTTTATCCCGTGCATCGTATCGTCGTGTCTCCAACACACTATTGCTCTTGTCATGTCTCTTGATTTGCGACAGGCCCAGGGTTAGACTGCACGTTTCCAGACAACAAAATATAAGCATGGTGAAGGGGTTATTTAGCGGGAGTATGCTTAAAAGATGTTCCGATTCTGGATTATCTGCATTAATGCATGTATTTGCAAGGAGTACATGATGACACAATACCATATTGATTTTTGTGCTCAGCCCTGTTAAACAGGTTTTGAAAACTTCCTGATTAACCTTGTTGGCAAAACTTTTTTTAATAGTTGAAATGCAACATTAGTCATGTGGTGGTATAAAGGGTGTGAATTATCATGGAGATGTAAAAGAGAATAATGCAGAAGACAATTGTAAATAACAAGAACTTGTAAAACACGATTTATTTAGCTGATTGTTGTTTCCCCCCTCATATTTCAAATGCAAATTATGTACATTTTATAAACTTTTTTGCCCAAATTGCTGCATCATCAACCAGGGTATTCATTTAAACTGAGGTTTATGATTTCTTTAGCTATAAAAGTCAGAATAAATGATTTGTAGTCATTCACCTAATGCTGGAAACTACAGAAGCCCTAATACATACATTTTATTTTACACTGTTTTCCAGTGATCTGAGTAAGTTCAATTTTTATATCTCAAGATCTCAACCAGTTCATCTTCATATCTCAGAATAATTATTGTTTCCCATTATCATGAGCTAATTTCTTAAGGCTGAAATTATCCTGTTATCACAGGAAAACCAGCGCTGTAATATCAAGATAGAGAGATAAATTAGCCAACATCTAAAAAATACAACTGAAATGTACTCATTATCCTGGGAGGATGGAGTCAAATTACATTTATTAATGCAGGGCTTCTATAGAAAATAGAAAAATAAACAGAGTTTCTTGTTACAGTCAGATTCAAAGACAGAAATCAGGACACCAGTATGTGATAAACCAGTATGATGTTCACAGAGCAGGCATGAAGACTTTGATCCGCTCCAGCAGCTCAGTGGGATCTTGGAGGAAAGTTGGAAGCTTGTTCCTGTTGATGTAGAAGGCCACGCCAACGACGGCGGCTGACACCATCAGGGGCCACAGAAATGACCTGTGGGGTTCAGCTGCTGGGCAGGGCCGGGTCTGCATGGGCTGAGTCACTCTCTCCCACTGGGTGAGGATGGCCTGATGGGCCCCCGCCCACTTTCCAGGGCCTTGGAGACGATACTGGTATGGCGTGCAGGGACCCAGCAACACGTTGAGTCCCATCCTGGGGTCGGTCAGCAGCAGCCTCAGTACGCTTGGTCGGACCCCCACCTGCTCTGCGATCTCATCCATGTAACTGATGTAGTCCACCTGGATGGTGTGTCTCTGACTGCTCACATACCTGACGAACACATCACATGTCAACATCAAGAGGAGAACATCTGATCCTTCACTTTAGAATCTAAAAGTGATCTCAGAGCTGAGTGAATCCTCTGTCACCTTTTAGTCATGGCCTCCGTCTTAGACTGGATGTCTTTCATCATGGTGGCTTCTGATGGGAGTTTGATGCAGCCTGAGAGAAAAAGCAACATTAACAAAAGTGCAAAACATATACAACAGAAACATAAAAGGAAAACTACCAGGCTGTGAATCTGATGGACTCACTGACACTCAGGGCACAAACACACTTAATAACACAGAGACAGCTCCCAACTCAGAGCCAGACTGAGACACCAGGATGGTGACACAAAATGCTTACTTTTAACAAACATTCGCTGATGCACTTTATCAGTCAATGAGAAGTACAATGTCCATTTGAGATTAATGTTTTGTTCATTTATGATCAAAGCAAACAACAAATATTTTACAACCACTTGACCTGTTTTAAAAAAACCTATACATCCCCTCATGATGCATTACCTCAAAGTGACAACCCTGCTGCCTTTAAATGCTTTTTTCCAAACCCTCTTGTTTTAAAAAGAAAACAAATGCAAATTTATAAACAATAACTGATGAAATAGTTCCGACAGGACCCAAAACAAATAATTGTAAGGGGAAATTATCATCTGAATCAATTCTAATCTCTGCTGTGTTTTTCCTAGTTGGCCACCTTACAGCCAGCTCTCTCTAACACTCAACATTCTGATTAAAAACAACCAGTGTTACCTTTAAAGACTCGAGTGGCCCACCTGGCCTGCATCTCAGAGATTGGCATGATGGCTCCCAGTGGCTGCACCAGGCCGATGATGGCCAGTGTGTGGCGCTGCAGCTCATGAGGAAACACGTACTTGTAGAGAGATGCTTTGTTGTCAGACACTGAGAGCACCTGAGAGGCCAGGAACGGGAAGGAGAACCTGTAACCTGTGGCAAACACCTGCAGGACAAGACAGTCAGTCACACACAGTCTGTACTAGTGTTTGTGTGTCTGTGTGTGTGAACAATACAACCTACCACCAGGTCCACGTCCTCCACCACACTCCCATCATCAAACTCCACACTGGAGCCCTGAAACCTGCGCACGTTTGGTTTCACCTGAACGGTACCTGACAGGATGCGGTTTGGAAGCTCGTCGTTCACTGTGGGATGTTGGCTGAACAACCTGACACACACACACACACACACACACACACACACACACACACACACACACACACACACACACACACACACACACACACACACACACACACACACAGGTTAGTTACAGGTTGTCTTTCAGTTTTCGTCTCCATCACTGTCCTTCTGTTCCTCCTGCAGTTCTTCACCTTTCCACCTAGACTTCCTTTTTTGGCTGAAGAAGCATCAGAAGTCACACACATCCATTCAAAAAGCCAGTTTTCACAGCAGAAATCAAAATGTTACAGCCTTGTACAAAGATGAAATTGGTCTGACTAGCGCTTGTCACACACTCTGGTGGGGGATTTTTTGAGAACTCATCCATTTTGATTTTATGAAGGATAGGAATTATTCACAATAAGGTGCATACAGTAGCTGACCTGATTGACAGGAAGTTGCGGTGTAACATTTTGTAGAGCGGCTTAAAACCAGCCTTAGCTCCAGCTCCCGGCCTGTTTTAAGATTGACTGGAAGTTAGTGCACAACAGCATTTCCAGCATGGCGACTGCCATTGATGGGACTTAACAGCCCCCTGCAGTAACAGATGGGTGAGGTCACCCAGGCTTCGTCCATTAATATTTACAGTCTGTTTCCAACACATTTCAGATGTAAACTCAGACCAGATTTTTGGCATCTTGGTCACAAAACTATTTTCTTTTAATTCACTTTTCCTCCATTTTCTGTTACTCTGAATAAATCAAAAATAAATAGAAAACCTTTTTTTTAACTTGTTGATTACATAGTTTTGTTCAGTTTGTTTTTCAAGAGTTTGTATTTTTAATGCAAGAATGCCATTTGCTGGTTGCAGTTACTTTAATGTGCAGTTTTATGTCATTGTCATGTCAACGTAGTCATTGTGTAAATTTAAAGTCTTTGGGTTTTGGACAGTTAGTTTATAGAATAAACAAACATTAACCTCTGGTTAACTTTGGAGATTATTATTATTATTATTTTTTTTTTTTACAATTTTCTGATAATTTATAGACCAAAAGATAAATCAATTTATCATTAAATAATCAGTGGATTGATTCTTTATTCCAGCCCGTCCTGTGTGCACTCATTTTTATGAAACTTTAAACTCAGAAAACCAATAAAAGTATTGTAAGATGTTGACTGACCACCCCAGGCTACCATCAAAGTGTTTTAGCAAATCATTATCCATGTCATGGTGAAGAGGTTTGTCCAAGCTGCATGCAAAGCAGCAGGTGCTTTAGGAAAAAGAGTGTGCGAAATCTGGTGCGGAAGTCTTCCACCAGGAGGTGCTGTTTCTGCCGTACCTGTGCTTTGGCTTCAGGTTGTACAGACTGTGATCAAATCTGTGGTTGAGACGTCTCTCTGCGGCATTGCAGATGAATCCAAACGGGAGGGTCTGACGCTGGAACTTCAGCACTCTGGTGTTGAAGACGTCACGAGGAAATCCTCCGTCTGACACTCGGTTCAGGATCCAGGCCCCCCTCCGTGTGCTCAGACACAGCTGTACACATTTCAAGATGCTAATACAGAGAGTGAAGCTTTTTGAGGTCTTAATAATTATCTTCAATGATCGATAACTATCAGACCTGTTTGGTGACTTGAATTCACACAATGATTTTCTGCAGCGTCCATAATTTTCCTTATTTGCTGCACTGATGTGTTTTATCTTTTGTATATTTGATGATATTTAGGTGATGACCAGCTTTACGATAACCTGATATCTATTCCAGGCTTTGAGACAACTTACTCTAAGAAAGTCTGTGTATGTAAAAACTTGACCACATGTCCCCTCACTGTTAAAATCGTATTCAGACCTGTTTGGTGACTTTGCTGAGCTCCACTGCGATGTCTCCTCCGGAGTTTCCTATCCCGATCACCACCACCTTTTTGTCCCTCCACTGCTCCGGAGTCTTGTAGTCCCTGCTGTGGAAGAACTGTCCTTTAAAGGTGTCGATGCCTGGAGGACACATTTAAAACAAATCAGACATAAACAGATAATATTTATATCAAGAAAGAAAGAATGAATAACTGCATCAGTGCTCCTGCTACAAGGACATAAACATTGGTTTCATCTCTTAATAAAATTAAACCAACATGTTTTTTAATTCAAATATATGACTGGGTTTAACCAGAATTTTTGGAAATAACAACAGATGTTTTAACCAACCATGGCAAAAATGCTGAAGCTTTGTATTTTTCTGATATTTATACTGTACTGTATGATGATTTTAGACACAATTTAGTAATAGAGAGGCTGCAAGTGAATTACACAGAACAGTTGTGCTTGTTGATGCCTGCATGTATCTGAACACTCAGTAACAGGCTAAGTGAATGAATAAATGTATGAATACATGAATGATTGAGTACACTGCAGGGGTCAGGATTTGTCCAAGATCTAACAAGTTGAATATTGTATATATTAGACAGACTTTTGTTTGTCTTAAAGAAAGTGTATAATTTTATGTATGGACAGTTTTTACTAAACAAAAATGTTAATCTGAAAACTGAACAGTTTTTTGTTTCATTAAAAAAAAAATCCTCATTCAATCAACGTTTTGATAACCTCCGTGCACACAGATCCACAAAAACGACTTAAAGGTGCATTATGGAGTTCTGGTGGTGAAATTTGAAAGTTGGAGAAGTGAAACAATTTTATGCTATATTTTCTGAACTGAATACACAAACTTTACTCGAATAAAAAATGGGGGCCTGGAACACTGTTTAGAGTTTAAAAGCTACCAGTGGAGAAGAAACGTGCTGTTCTCCTGGACTGGTTGAGATGTGGAGAGACCAAGAATGCTTCTTTGACGTGTCCTCCTCTTTTACCACAATAGAGTGGTTATGCTCGAAATGCTTCTGAAGGTTCACCTATGGACCTAATGAACTTCTAACACATTTAGAGAGTTTTAGGTCAGTTCTCTGTTGTTGATGTATCTACTGTTGTTTATTTATGAGTCTCCCTCATATTTGAGTTAAAGACAGAAAAAATCTGAACAGGGATTTTCATCTGGGTTAAAGGAAGAATGTGCGACTTTTTGAGCCACACCTCCAACCTCCCTCCAGTCGCATTCACACGAAGGAGTTATCAATTTGAACGCACCGTAATAAAGCACCATTAGGCACAAGCACAATCGTCCTTTGCTCAAGCTGCAATTGCCTGTGTCCTGCATTGTTGTGTTAGCAGGCTAATGTTAGCACACTTAGGTTAACTGGTAGCTTCACATTGCACATCAATTGCCACAAAATTACAGTGAGTTAAAAATGCTTACGTGACATCCAAATAAGCAGTGAGCGGACTATTTTATTCTTCCTAGTCCTTGACAAAAACAGCTTTATACGCAAGGTAGTCCTGTCCATGTAAACATGGCTCCGACAACAGTGCAGCTGGCGGGCTTTTCATTCATTATAGACAGTCATGACTCAGAGAGACATTTATATAGGATATATACTGTATTTCTGCAACATGTTCGAGTAAAATGTTGCATATTCTTCCTTTAAGCAAAGAGAACAGAGTTCTTTTACAGCCAGCACATTCTCCAATAAGACTGCAGTTATTTTTCTTCTTCTGGACATGTTCATAGATTTTAGATTTCCACCTGGATCTTAACTTCTATATGTTTAACATGCTCACAAAAACATCTTTATCATCTCTGTAGTCAGACTATAAACTCTACAGGTTCTTTTTTCTCCCCAAGCTGCAGGTTTATGTCCTGCAGGTTTTTTTTTTCTTACCTGGGAAGTCGTGTAGGGGCAGGTTGGGTTGACAATGGTGTCCAATACAGATCATCACTGCATCAAAAATGTGTTTCTCCTTTTTACCCTCCTTGTTCTCCGTCTCGATGTCCCACTGACCAGACTGAGAGAAATCTGACCTCTGCTTCACCTGCAGCACTTTGGTCTGAACAACAGAGACACACACTGAAGATTAAGAATACATTTGTAATCTGTTTTGCAAAAAGGAAATTTAGAAGAAGAAATAATTTTCCTCAGATATGTCTTAATGTTTGAAATCTGCTGTGCAGGCGGTGAGTGCAGTGTGTGCTCACGTTGAAGCGGATGTGTTTGGTGAGCTGGAAGTGGTCGGCGTACATCCTGAAGTAGTCCATGATGAGGGAGTTGTGCATGTAGTTGGGGAAGTGTGCCGGGATGGGAAAGTCACTGAAACACATCATCTCCTTGGAGGTGTTGATGATGACAGAGTGGTAGATGCTGGCTCTGTCCGCCTCTGGATTCTCCTGCACCAACAACACCAACATCATCATCACAATCAGGTTTATGACCAAGAACATTTAATCTAACAAGGAATTAGTCTTGGTGCAAAAAAACAACAAAAACTATGATTAACGGTAAAAGGCAAATATTTCAAGCACATATCAAAATATGTGCAACATGAGCAATAAAAAAAAACTGAACAGTTGAAATTGCAGGATGATGTTTTGTGCAAAAATCTATTCTCTATTATAGTAAAGAATTAAAGACTGTGACTAACCTTGAACCTCCACAGACCCCCCAAGTCATCGCTGCTCTCAAAGCAGACGGGCTGCAGCCCCTCATCCAGACAGCACTTGATGCAGGCCAGACCTGAACTGCCCCCTCCGACCACGGCAACAAGACGAGCCATCACTCAGGTCTGACACACAGGAAATGTATTTTGGGTCATGCTACCTACAAACTGTATCAAGTATGAATAAACATGTGAAATCTTAAAATCGTACCATGCAAACTTAAAGTTCAAACATCAGGACTCAGGTGGTGTGAGTTTTCTTCTGCAGACCTGCTGTCTGTTTAAAATAATGGTTACTTATCCTCTAATAGTGTAGTTATGTATCTGAGAATTTCATCCATTCACAGGTGAAATAATGTCTAACTTCAGTCACAAACTGTTAATGTTAAACAGCTGATTTCCTCATATCTCCTTCATGATTCTAGGAACACCAACAGACTTTAGAGGAGGTCCTGAGCTGCTCTTTGTAACACGATCTTGTCCTCAGAAAACCTGCACCACTACCTTTACTTTTAACCCATAGTGTTGAGAATCACTTTTAAAACATGTAGGTTTTGTTCTGTTTTTTAATTGTTCTGTCACATGCTTTGAACAGTCTGAGGTCCAAACTGCACAATTCTTTATGAAATAAATCTGATTTGTTGAATTATATCTGAAATTCAATGCAAAAACTCAAATCTTAGGAAGTGCATTTGTCTAGTTTCTAGTGAAAAACTTCCCAGAACATGAATTACAAGCCACATGTACTGGACCTGCAAGGGGACAGAAAATATTACTGGTTACATTTATTAAAACGAGATATTATCTCTTATTTCAAGAAGTTTTTTTTTTTTGCCCCATTAACAGACTTCTCCCTTTTTATTCAAACAAGCATTTTAGGCCTTATTGTTTGTTTTTAGTTTCTCAAAATAAGATGTTTATCTGGATTGTTTAAGTTAATGTGGCTTTCAAAAAGTGAAATGAGATATTTTTGACAGGAAATTAGATAAATACACTTGAGAAGATTTGATTTTTTTTGGCTAGACCAGTTGAGACTTATTGCTTTAAGCAGTAAGTCATCTTAAATGAGTCAGACTAATTCTGAGAGACAACTTCATTAAATACATAACTCTGGCAACTAAACATCAATTTTATGTGAGACCAGGAGTTAAAGTATTGTGCCGTATCTTTTCCACTTTTGCAAACAGCACACATAATGCAGACAACAATCTTTGTTTTTCTTACGTATAAAATGTCATTAAATTTTAATAAAGTGGAATAGAGGTCAACTTAAACCTGTCAGCACTCTACAGACACATCATGATATATTTTCTGGAAAGATAAGACTGTAAGAAGAACTCAAATTAAAGTTGTATCACATTTCACAGGTCTCTCTTACAACTAAAACTACAGAATGAAATCAAATTCATGCATGATCGATATTTAAAACAGAGAAGGAAAACATAGCCAGGCAACCCAATGCATCCACAGGAAAATGTCCATACTTACCAACTGAGAGAGAGCATCAAATCAAATCTAACCTCCTGATGACTCCACAGTGTGCAGATGATTCACTTGCTGCATCACATAAAAGTGTAGCTGTATGAATAGAATCATTGAGCACTGATCTCTCACTTTTACACACATGATAACAGGTAATAAAATCAGTGACAGATTAAACAGTCCGAGCTTCTCTCAGCTGCACACTCACTCAGCTGCGTCCAAAGACTTCCTGACTGCAGACAACTTTTTTCAGACGATCTGGGCAGTGACAGAAAAAGTCAGATTTGGTTAAATGATGGTTAAACTAGTTTACTTTGTGTAACATGTCAGTTTGTTTACACCTCCTCCCCCCTTTTTAAAAACTTTCCTTATAATAAAAACATGTGAATTAATCTCTGAAGGCAAATCAAACTCATTGTTCTCTGAAATTCTTCAGACATTTCTTTTTCATGAAATCAGATTTTTTAATTTATTATCTGATAAAATCCCCTCATCTCTTTTTTCATGAACAAGAGATTTGTTATTTTCATAACTAATTAATTATTAATCCAATTACTGAAGACCTGTCAGTTGTAGATGATGTGCTTTTTATTTTTAACCTCAGAAATAAGCTCTCTCACATTTCTGCAGAGATTCATTCGTATCTGGTTTCTGTAGAAAACAAAAGGACGTTGCAAGGTACATGTGAATTTAAAAAAATTAAGTTTATTATTAAGAACCCCCCCATAAAAAGAAATTGTTTTATTCTGTATGAAAAACTGAGGAAAATTAAACAGAGCAATGACAGAGAGACCTTTGTAATCATACAATACAAAGACAATAATAAAACATAATTAAAGCTGTGTTACATCCATGTAAGGTAAATGTGTCATTCAACAAAAATACTGATATGAAAAAGAATTATTTTTAAAGCAATGTAAAGAAAAACAAGTCAGTGTGTATCTCCTACAAGTGATAAGGTATGTGGTGAACATGTATAAAATACAAGTATAAACCAAATCCTTTAAGACATGATTTCATTTAAAATGAATGAAGCCTCTATTGCCCCTATGGGAAATGTGTTTTTCACAGTGAACATGAAAACATAACTAATCGCCTGACTGATTTCGTCCTTCTGTTACTGCAGGGGGCTTTGGAGTCCAATCTATGGTTAGTAGCCATGCTCGAAACGCTGTCTCAACCCAACTTTCAATCAAGAAAACGACAGGTTGAGAGATGGAGCTGAGGCGAGTTTTCAGCCTCTTGACAAACCGTTACATTTAGCCCTCCTGTTAATATGGTCAGCTACGCGTCATACTGTTAATAACTCTTATCCTTCATAAAATCAAAATGGATGAGTTGTCAAAAAATTCAACCCCTATAGTGTGTGCTGATCGAGACAGGCTAATCAGACCTGTTTTCATTCTTTGAACTCTGTTGTTAACATGCTTGTTTCTGCTGTAATAATTGGCTTTTTGCACTGGGTGTGTATTTAAACAAACCAGTATGTGATAAACCAGTATGAAATTTTCACAGAGCAGGCATGAAGACTTTGATCCTCTCCAGCAGCTCAGTGGGATCTTGGAGGAAAGTTGGAAGCTTGTTCCTGTTGATGTAGAAGGCCACGCCAACGACGGCGGCTGACACCATCAGGGGCCACAGAAACGACCTGTGGGGTTCAGCTGCTGGGCAGGGCCGGGTCTGCATGGGCTGAGCCACTCTCTCCCACTGGGTGAGGATGGCCTGATGGGCCCCCGCCCACTTTCCAGGGCCTTGGAGACGATACTGGTATGGCGTGCAGGGACCCAGCAACACGTTGAGTCCCATCCTGGGGTCGGTCAGCAGCAGCCTCAGTACGCTTGGTCGGACCCCCACCTGCTCTGCGATCTCATCCATGTAGCTGATGTAGTCCACCTGGATGGTGTGTCTCTGACTGCTCACATACCTGACGAACACATCACATGTCAACATCAAGAGGAGAACCATGGATTTACTTTTTTTTTTTAATCCAGCAGTCATCACAGAGCTGGGAGATCCTCTGAGGCTTTTATTTTTTTTAGCTGAATCAATTAGAGATAATCAATGTTTAACTCAAGCTCCTGGTGTTGTTCTGTATATAGGCACTGCTGTGATTAATAATCAGTGCTGATATTCAGAACAACATCATGATGTTGAGAGATACTTTTTGTGAACAGCACAACTCAACAAGTTCCAAAACTGACTTGTTGCTAAGGAACCCAAACATTCTTCTGCACCCTGTTTGTTTCCATGGTTACCACATACCTGTGTAACTGTGTAAGCAGCTAGTTGTATCTTAAGTTCTGGGGTAAAGTCCTCACTTAACCCTTGGTGTAAACTTGTTAGTTTGTAACTTAAGTTGTGTCATTATTTCGTTACCATTGAGATGTAAGGTTCATCTTAACTAGTACAGAGTAAAGGCCAAACTAACCAAAAATATTGTGCAGAAAGGATTGCTGTTTTACCCACCTTTCTACACCATCACCATGATAACTGTATTTTGCAGAGGACGTCACACCTACTAGGATCGAGGTGTAAGATTGAATGTGTAACTTGTAATGTGACATTACTTAATTATGCTGATCAATATATTTCAATAGCTGTTTTAAAGATCATCCTGATGATGCAGGCCTTAAAAAACCCAGATGGTTAAGAAGTAAAACTTTTGAATTCTGAGTGGTTTGTCCAACTATTTGAAGGTGCACTCCTTTATGTAGCTCATTAAGTTATTTGATGACTCTAAATTGCAGTAGGTGTGAACATGAGTATTACTGGTAGTTTGGATCTGCTACTTGTTCATAACTTCAGAATTGGGCCATAGACTGATCCTGATTACATTCAAACCAACCCAGGGCTCCATGTGCCAGGTGCTCACTTCTTACAGTTAAGATTGGTTCACAATTTTAATCTGTGAATACACCCTTAATCCATATCAATAAAAAACAAATCTGAAGTTTATTTTCGGCCTAATAATCATATACCGCCCAGCCCCAGAATCATCGTCAGTACCTTTGAGCCATGGTCTTCTTCTTGCACTGGATGTCTTTCATCATGTCGACCACTGAGGGGAGCTTTGCGCACCCTAGGAGAGTGAGAGAGAGAGAAACAGAGAGAGAGAGAGAGAGAAACAGAGAGAGAGAGAGGACACACTGAGACATTGAGGTTTGATCTCTCAGACACTTCTGATTAAAAACAACCAGTGTTACCTTTAAAGACTCGAGTGGCCCACCTGGCCTGCATCTCAGAGATTGGCATGATGGCTCCCAGTGGCTGCACCAGGCCGATGATGGCCAGTGTGTGGCGCTGCAGCTCATGAGGAAACACGTACTTGTAGAGAGATGCTTTGTTGTCAGACACTGAGAGCACCTGAGAGGCCAGGAACGGGAAGGAGAACCTGTAACCTGTGGCAAACACCTGCAGGACAAGACAGTCAGTCACACACAGTCTGTACTAGTGTTTGTGTGTCTGTGTGTGTGAACAATACAACCTACCACCAGGTCCACGTCCTCCACCACACTCCCATCATCAAACTCCACACTGGAGCCCTGAAACCTGCGCACGTTTGGTTTCACCTGAACGGTACCTGACAGGATGCGGTTTGGAAGCTCGTCGTTCACTGTGGGATGTTGGCTGAACAACCTGACACACACACACACACACACACACACACACACACACACACACACACACACACACAGGTTAGTTACAGGTTGTCTTTCAGTTTTCGTCTCCATCACTGTCCTTCTGTTCCTCCTGCAGTTCTTCACCTTTCCACCTAGACTTCCTTTTTTGGCTGAAGAAGCATCAGAAGTCACACACATCCATTCAAAAAGCCAGTTTTCACAGCAGAAATCAAAATGTTACAGCCTTGTACAAAGATGAAATTGGTCTGACTAGCGCTTGTCACACACTCTGGTGGGGGATTTTTTGAGAACTCATCCATTTTGATTTTATGAAGGATAGGAATTATTCACAATAAGGTGCATACAGTAGCTGACCTGATTGACAGGAAGTTGCGGTGTAACATTTTGTAGAGCGGCTTAAAACCAGCCTTAGCTCCAGCTCCCGGCCTGTTTTAAGATTGACTGGAAGTTAGTGCACAACAGCATTTCCAGCATGGCGACTGCCATTGATGGGACTTAACAGCCCCCTGCAGTAACAGATGGGTGAGGTCACCCAGGCTTCGTCCATTAATATTTACAGTCTGTTTCCAACACATTTCAGATATAAACTCAGACCAGATTTTTGGCATCTTGGTCACAAAACTATTTTCTTTTAATTCACTTTTCCTCCATTTTCTGTTACTCTGAATAAATCAAAAATAAATAGAAAACCTTTTTTTTAACTTGTTGATTACATAGTTTTGTTCAGTTTGTTTTTCAAGAGTTTGTATTTTTAATGCAAGAATGCCATTTGCTGGTTGCAGTTACTTTAATGTGCAGTTTTTTGTCATTGTCATGTCAACGTAGTCATTGTGTAAATTTAAAGTCTTTGGGTTTTGGACAGTTAGTTTATAGAATAAACAAACATTAACCTCTGGTTAACTTTGGAGATTATTATTATTATTATTTTTTTTTTTTTACAATTTTCTGATAATTTATAGACCAAAAGATAAATCAATTTATCATTAAATAATCAGTGGATTGATTCTTTATTCCAGCCCGTCCTGTGTGCACTCATTTTTATGAAACTTTAAACTCAGAAAACCAATAAAAGTATTGTAAGATGTTGACTGACCACCCCAGGCTACCATCAAAGTGTTTTAGCAAATCATTATCCATGTCATGGTGAAGAGGTTTGTCCAAGCTACATGCAAAGCAGCAGGTGCTTTAGGAAAAAGAGTGTGCGAAATCTGGTGCGGAAGTCTTCCACCAGGAGGTGCTGTTTCTGCCGTACCTGTGCTTTGGCTTCAGGTTGTACAGACTGTGATCAAATCTGTGGTTGAGACGTCTCTCTGCGGCATTGCAGATGAATCCAAACGGGAGGGTCTGACGCTGGAACTTCAGCACTCTGGTGTTGAAGACGTCACGAGGAAATCCTCCGTCTGACACTCGGTTCAGGATCCAGGCCCCCCTCCGTGTGCTCAGACACAGCTGTACACATTTCAAGATGCTAATACAGAGAGTGAAGCTTTTTGAGGTCTTAATAATTATCTTCAATGATCGATAACTATCAGACCTGTTTGGTGACTTGAATTCACACAATGATTTTCTGCAGCGTCCATAATTTTCCTTATTTGCTGCACTGATGTGTTTTATCTTTTGTATATTTGATGATATTTAGGTGATGACCAGCTTTACGATAACCTGATATCTATTCCAGGCTTTGAGACAACTTACTCTAAGAAAGTCTGTGTATGTAAAAACTTGACCACATGTCCCCTCACTGTTAAAATCGTATTCAGACCTGTTTGGTGACTTTGCTGAGCTCCACTGCGATGTCTCCTCCGGAGTTTCCTATCCCGATCACCACCACCTTTTTGTCCCTCCACTGCTCCGGAGTCTTGTAGTCCCTGCTGTGGAAGAACTGTCCTTTAAAGGTGTCGATGCCTGGAGGACACATTTAAAACAAATCAGACATAAACAGATAATATTTATATCAAGAAAGAAAGAATGAATAACTGCATCAGTGCTCCTGCTACAAGGACATAAACATTGGTTTCATCTCTTAATAAAATTAAACCAACATGTTTTTTAATTCAAATATATGACTGGGTTTAACCAGAATTTTTGGAAATAACAACAGATGTTTTAACCAACCATGGCAAAATGCTGAAGCTTTGTATTTTTCTGATATTTATACTGTACTGTATGATGATTTTAGACACAATTTAGTAATAGAGAGGCTGCAAGTGAATTACACAGAACAGTTGTGCTTGTTGATGCCTGCATGTATCTGAACACTCAGTAACAGGCTAAGTGAATGAATAAATGTATGAATACATGAATGATTGAGTACACTGCAGGGGTCAGGATTTGTCCAAGATCTAACAAGTTGAATATTGTATATATTAGACAGACTTTTGTTTGTCTTAAAGAAAGTGTATAATTTTATGTATGGACAGTTTTTACTAAACAAAATGTTAATCTGAAAACTGAACAGTTTTTTGTTTCATTAAAAAAAAAATCCTCATTCAATCAACGTTTTGATAACCTCCGTGCACACAGATCCACAAAAACGACTTAAAGGTGCATTATGGAGTTCTGGTGGTGAAATTTGAAAGTTGGAGAAGTGAAACAATTTTATGCTATATTTTCTGAACTGAATACACAAACTTTACTCGAATAAAAAATGGGGGCCTGGAACACTGTTTAGAGTTTAAAAGCTACCAGTGGAGAAGAAACGTGCTGTTCTCCTGGACTGGTTGAGATGTGGAGAGACCAAGAATGCTTCTTTGACGTGTCCTCCTCTTTTACCACAATAGAGTGGTTATGCTCGAAATGCTTCTGAAGGTTCACCTATGGACCTAATGAACTTCTAACACATTTAGAGAGTTTTAGGTCAGTTCTCTGTTGTTGATGTATCTACTGTTGTTTATTTATGAGTCTCCCTCATATTTGAGTTAAAGACAGAAAAAATCTGAACAGGGATTTTCATCTGGGTTAAAGGAAGAATGTGCGACTTTTTGAGCCACACCTCCAACCTCCCTCCAGTCGCATTCACACGAAGGAGTTATCAATTTGAACGCACCGTAATAAAGCACCATTAGGCGCAAGCACAATCGTCCTTTGCTCAAGCTGCAATTGCCTGTGTCCTGCATTGTTGTGTTAGCAGGCTAATGTTAGCACACTTAGGTTAACTGGTAGCTTCACATTGCACATCAATTGTCACAAAATTACAGTGATTTAAAAATGCTTACGTGACATCCAAATAAGCAGTGAGCGGACTATTTTATTCTTCCTAGTCCTTGACAAAAACAGCTTTATACGCAAGGTAGTCCTGTCCATGTAAACATGGCTCCGACAACAGTGCAGCTGGCGGGCTTTTCATTCATTATAGACAGTCATGACTCAGAGAGACATTTATATAGGATATATACTGTATTTCTGCAACATGTTCGAGTAAAATGTTGCATATTCTTCCTTTAAGCAAAGAGAACAGAGTTCTTTTACAGCCAGCACATTCTCCAATAAGACTGCAGTTATTTTTCTTCTTCTGGACATGTTCATAGATTTTAGATTTCCACCTGGATCTTAACTTCTATATGTTTAACATGCTCACAAAAACATCTTTATCATCTCTGTAGTCAGACTATAAACTCTACAGGTTCTTTTTTCTCCCCAAGCTGCAGGTTTATGTCCTGCAGGTTTTTTTTTTCTTACCTGGGAAGTCGTGTAGGGGCAGGTTGGGTTGACAATGGTGTCCAATACAGATCATCACTGCATCAAAAATGTGTTTCTCCTTTTTACCCTCCTTGTTCTCCGTCTCGATGTCCCACTGACCAGACTGAGAGAAATCTGACCTCTGCTTCACCTGCAGCACTTTGGTCTGAACAACAGAGACACACACTGAAGATTAAGAATACATTTGTAATCTGTTTTGCAAAAAGGAAATTTAGAAGAAGAAATAATTTTCCTCAGATATGTCTTAATGTTTGAAATCTGCTGTGCAGGCGGTGAGTGCAGTGTGTGCTCACGTTGAAGCGGATGTGTTTGGTGAGCTGGAAGTGGTCGGCGTACATCCTGAAGTAGTCCATGATGAGGGAGTTGTGCATGTAGTTGGGGAAGTGTGCCGGGATGGGAAAGTCACTGAAACACATCATCTCCTTGGAGGTGTTGATGATGACAGAGTGGTAGATGCTGGCTCTGTCCGCCTCTGGATTCTCCTGCACCAACAACACCAACATCATCATCACAATCAGGTTTATGACCAAGAACATTTAATCTAACAAGGAATTAGTCTTGGTGCAAAAAAACAACAAAAACTATGATTAACGGTAAAAGGCAAATATTTCAAGCACATATCAAAATATGTGCAACATGAGCAATAAAAAAAAACTGAACAGTTGAAATTGCAGGATGATGTTTTGTGCAAAAATCTATTCTCTATTATAGTAAAGAATTAAAGACTGTGACTAACCTTGAACCTCCACAGACCCCCCAAGTCATCGCTGCTCTCAAAGCAGACGGGCTGCAGCCCCTCATCCAGACAGCACTTGATGCAGGCCAGACCTGAACTGCCCCCTCCGACCACGGCAACAAGACGAGCCATCACTCAGGTCTGACACACAGGAAATGTATTTTGGGTCATGCTACCTACAAACTGTATCAAGTATGAATAAACATGTGAAATCTTAAAATCGTACCATGCAAACTTAAAGTTCAAACATCAGGACTCAGGTGGTGTGAGTTTTCTTCTGCAGACCTGCTGTCTGTTTAAAATAATGGTTACTTATCCTCTAATAGTGTAGTTATGTATCTGAGAATTTCATCCATTCACAGGTGAAATAATGTCTAACTTCAGTCACAAACTGTTAATGTTAAACAGCTGATTTCCTCATATCTCCTTCATGATTCTAGGAACACCAACAGACTTTAGAGGAGGTCCTGAGCTGCTCTTTGTAACACGATCTTGTCCTCAGAAAACCTGCACCACTACCTTTACTTTTAACCCATAGTGTTGAGAATCACTTTTAAAACATGTAGGTTTTGTTCTGTTTTTTAATTGTTCTGTCACATGCTTTGAACAGTCTGAGGTCCAAACTGCACAATTCTTTATGAAATAAATCTGATTTGTTGAATTATATCTGAAATTCAATGCAAAAACTCAAATCTTAGGAAGTGCATTTGTCTAGTTTCTAGTGAAAAACTTCCCAGAACATGAATTACAAGCCACATGTACTGGACCTGCAAGGGGACAGAAAATATTACTGGTTACATTTATTAAAACGAGATATTATCTCTTATTTCAAGAAGTTTTTTTTTTGCCCCATTAACAGACTTCTCCCTTTTTATTCAAACAAGCATTTTAGGCCTTATTGTTTGTTTTTAGTTTCTCAAAATAAGATGTTTATCTGGATTGTTTAAGTTAATGTGGCTTTCAAAAAGTGAAATGAGATATTTTTGACAGGAAATTAGATAAATACACTTGAGAAGATTTGATTTTTTTTGGCTAGACCAGTTGAGACTTATTGCTTTAAGCAGTAAGTCATCTTAAATGAGTCAGACTAATTCTGAGAGACAACTTCATTAAATACATAACTCTGGCAACTAAACATCAATTTTATGTGAGACCAGGAGTTAAAGTATTGTGCCGTATCTTTTCCACTTTTGCAAACAGCACACATAATGCAGACAACAATCTTTGTTTTTCTTACGTATAAAATGTCATTAAATTTCAATAAAGTGGAATAGAGGTCAACTTAAACCTGTCAGCACTCTACAGACACATCATGATATATTTTCTGGAAAGATAAGACTGTAAGAAGAACTCAAATTAAAGTTGTATCACATTTCACAGGTCTCTCTTACAACTAAAACTACAGAATGAAATCAAATTCATGCATGATCGATATTTAAAACAGAGAAGGAAAACATAGCCAGGCAACCCAATGCATCCACAGGAAAATGTCCATACTTACCAACTGAGAGAGAGCATCAAATCAAATCTAACCTCCTGATGACTCCACAGTGTGCAGATGATTCACTTGCTGCATCACATAAAAGTGTAGCTGTATGAATAGAATCATTGAGCACTGATCTCTCACTTTTACACCGACACATGATAACAGGTAATAAAATCAGTGACAGATTAAACAGTCCGAGCTTCTCTCAGCTGCACACTCACTCAGCTGCGTCCAAAGACTTCCTGACTGCAGACAACTTTTTTCAGACGATCTGGGCAGTGACAGAAAAAGTCAGATTTGGTTAAATGATGGTTAAACTAGTTTACTTTGTGTAACATGTCAGTTTGTTTACACCTCCTCCCCCCTTTTTAAAAACTTTCCTTATAATAAAAACATGTGAATTAATCTCTGAAGGCAAATCAAACTCATTGTTCTCTGAAATTCTTCAGACATTTCTTTTTCATGAAATCAGATTTTTTAATTTATTATCTGATAAAATCCCCTCATCTCTTTTTTCATGAACAAGAGATTTGTTATTTTCATAACTAATTAATTATTAATCCAATTATTGAAGACCTGTCAGTTGTAGATGATGTGCTTTTTATTTTTAACCTCAGAAATAAGCTCTCTCACATTTCTGCAGAGATTCATTCGTATCTGGTTTCTGTAGAAAACAAAAGGACGTTGCAAGGTACATGTGAATTTAAAAAAATTAAGTTTATTATTAAGAACCCCCCCATAAAAAGAAATTGTTTTATTCTGTATGAAAAACTGAGGAAAATTAAACAGAGCAATGACAGAGAGACCTTTGTAATCATACAATACAAAGACAATAATAAAACATAATTAAAGCTGTGTTACATCCATGTAAGGTAAATGTGTCATTCAACAAAAATACTGATATGAAAAAGAATTATTTTTAAAGCAATGTAAAGAAAAACAAGTCAGTGTGTATCTCCTACAAGTGATAAGGTATGTGGTGAACATGTATAAAATACAAGTATAAACCAAATCCTTTAAGACATGATTTCATTTAAAATGAATGAAGCCTCTATTGCTCCTATGGGAAATGTGTTTTTCACAGTGAACATGAAAACATAACTAATCGCCTGACTGATTTCGTCCTTCTGTTACTGCAGGGGGCTTTGGAGTCCAATCTATGGTTAGTAGCCATGCTCGAAACGCTGTCTCATCCCAACTTTCAATCAAGAAAACGACAGGTTGAGAGATGGAGCTGAGGCGAGTTTTCAGCCTCTTGACAAACCGTTACATTTAGCCCTCCTGTTAATATGGTCAGCTACGCGTCATACTGTTAATAACTCTTATCCTTCATAAAATCAAAATGGATGAGTTGTCAAAAAATTCAACCCCTATAGTGTGTGCTGATCGAGACAGGCTAATCAGACCTGTTTTCATTCTTTGAACTCTGTTGTTAACATGCTTGTTTCTGCTGTAATAATTGGCTTTTTGCACTGGGTGTGTATTTAAACAAACCAGTATGTGATAAACCAGTATGAAATTTTCACAGAGCAGGCATGAAGACTTTGATCCTCTCCAGCAGCTCAGTGGGATCTTGGAGGAAAGTTGGAAGCTTGCTCCTGTTGATGTAGAAGGCCACGCCAACGACGGCGGCTGACACCATCAGGGGCCACAGAAACGACCTGTGGGGTTCAGCTGCTGGGCAGGGCCGGGTCTGCATGGGCTGAGCCACTCTCTCCCACTGGGTGAGGATGGCCTGACGGGCCCCCGCCCACTTTCCAGGGCCTTGGAGACGATACTGGTATGGCGTGCAGGGACCCAGCAACACGTTGAGTCCCATCCTGGGGTCGGTCAGCAGCAGCCTCAGTACGCTTGGTCGGACCCCCACCTGCTCTGCGATCTCATCCATGTAGCTGATGTAGTCCACCTGGATGGTGTGTCTCTGACTGCTCACATACCTGACGAACACATCACATGTCAACATCAAGAGGAGAACCATGGATTTACTTTTTTTTTTTTAATCCAGCAGTCATCACAGAGCTGGGAGATCCTCTGAGGCTTTTATTTTTTTTAGCTGAATCAATTAGAGATAATCAATGTTTAACTCAAGCTCCTGGTGTTGTTCTGTATATAGGCACTGCTGTGATTAATAATCAGTGCTGATATTCAGAACAACATCATGATGTTGAGAGATACTTTTTGTGAACAGCACAACTCAACAAGTTCCAAAACTTAACTAAAACTGACCTGTTGCTAAGGAACCCAAACATTCTCCTGCACCCTGTTTATTTCCATGGTTACCACATACCTGTGTAACTGTGTAAGCAGCTAGTTGTATCTTAAGTTCTGGGGTAAAGTCCTCACTTAACCCTTGGTGTAAACTTGTTAGTTTGTAACTTAAGTTGTGTCATTATTTCGTTACCATTGAGATGTAAGGTTCATCTTAACTAGTACAGAGTAAAGGCCAAACTAACCAAAAATATTGTGCAGAAAGGATTGCTGTTTTACCCACCTTTCTACACCATCACCATGATAACTGTATTTTGCAGAGGACGTCACACCTACTAGGATCGAGGTGTAAGATTGAATGTGTAACTTGTAATGTGACATTACTTAATTATGCTGATCAATATATTTCAATAGCTGTTTTAAAGATCATCCTGATGATGCAGGCCTTAAAAAACCCAGATGGTTAAGAAGTAAAACTTTTGAATTCTGAGTGGTTTGTCCAACTATTTGAAGGTGCACTCCTTTATGTAGCTCATTAAGTTATTTGATGACTCTAAATTGCAGTAGGTGTGAACATGAGTATTACTGGTAGTTTGGATCTGCTACTTGTTCATAACTTCAGAATTGGGCCATAGACTGATCCTGATTACATTCAAACCAACCCAGGGCTCCATGTGCCAGGTGCTCACTTCTTACAGTTAAGATTGGTTCACAATTTTAATCTGTGAATACACCCTTAATCCATATCAATAAAAAACAAATCTGAAGTTTATTTTCGGCCTAATAATCATATACCGCCCAGCCCCAGAATCATCGTCAGTACCTTTGAGCCATGGTCTTCTTCTTGCACTGGATGTCTTTCATCATGTCGACCACTGAGGGGAGCTTTGCGCACCCTAGGAGAGTGAGAGAGAGAGAAACAGAGAGAGAGAGAGAGAGAAACAGAGAGAGAGAGAGGACACACTGAGACATTGAGGTTTGATCTCTCAGACACTTCTGATTAAAAACAACCAGTGTTACCTTTAAAGACTCGAGTGGCCCACCTGGCCTGCATCTCAGAGACTGGCATGATGGCTCCCAGTGGCTGCACCAGGCCGATGATGGCCAGTGTGTGGCGCTGCAGCTCATGAGGAAACACGTACTTGTAGAGAGATGCTTTGTTGTCAGACACTGAGAGCACCTGAGAGGCCAGGAACGGGAAGGAGAACCTGTAACCTGTGGCAAACACCTGCAGGACAAGACAGTCAGTCACACACAGTCTGTACTAGTGTTTGTGTGTCTGTGTGTGTGAACAATACAACCTACCACCAGGTCCACGTCCTCCACCACACTCCCATCATCAAACTCCACACTGGAGCCCTGAAACCTGCGCACGTTTGGTTTCACCTGAACGGTACCTGACAGGATGCGGTTTGGAAGCTCGTCGTTCAATGTGGGATGTTGGCTGAACAACCTGACACACTCACATACACACAAGCACACACAAACACACACAAACACACACAAACACATATACTGTTTAACATTATTAGGCAAAAAAACAAGTAGAAGCACAAGTGGTTAAAACAGACAGAGTCAGATAAAATATGTTCTGATTCAGTGCTTATTTAGTCTTCTCACTCTACTGCAGCTGGACTCACTAACTTATTGTGATAAACAGAACAGTAAAAAAAAAAAAAAAGCTGAGTACCTGTGCTGTGGCTTCAAGTTGTACAGAGCGTGGTCGAATCTTTTGTTGAGCTGGCTCTCCACAAGTCCTGAGAAGAAATTAAAGGGCAGAACATTCTTCAAGCGATCAATCGCTCTGTTAAACAGCATGTCCCAGGGCAGACCGTTGTCCCAGACTCTGTTTAGGATCCAGGCCCCCCGCCGGGTGCTCAGGTACAGCTAGGAAGGAGGAAACATGGACATCAGTCAGTGAGCTGGAGCATAGACTCTCACAGTTGTTTGTTGGATAACGTATCTAAAATATTCAGAGAAGGATTCAATCAAGGCAGCTTTTACATTTTGTAAATAAAGCTCAGCTTTCTGCATTTAAACCAGCAGAAAGTCTCTGTCCTTAAAGGATTAATATGCAATTTATTTTATCCAGCAGATGTCGCCCTTGAGCACCAGCATGAAACCAAAACAAATTGTGTTGCATTGTTGTGTTAGCAGGCTAATGCTAGCGATCTTTATTACGCTCAGAGCTTCATGTTACGGTACGGTGAGTAAAACAAGGGAGGTGGACCCAAGTGCAGAACCAAAAGAAAGGATTTATTTAAAATAAAGATCAAAATGCCAAAACACAAAAAAACAAGGAGCCACTAAAACACACTGGACACTGACACGCCAACAACCTACAACATACAACAACGGACCTTCAGGTAGACGGCCTGGAGGTAGGGCACATAGCCCGGAAAGTTCAGGCGGACGGCCTGGAGGCAGGGCACACAGCCCGGAAAGCTCAGGCGGACGGCCTGGAGGCCGACCAACCACAGGGAGCAGTTTGGGTGGGCGGCCGGAAGGCCGACCAGGTGAACACACGGGACCAGTGAGAGGCCAGGCCTCCCACGGAAACACAGGGGTGGGTAAAGTCAGCAGGACCTGTGATGGGGGCGCCGGAGTCAGCAGGGCCTCTGATGGGGGAACAGGAGTCAGCAGGACCTGATGACGAAACAGCAGTTGGCAGGGCCTTTCGAAAAACAATCCATCTCCTCAACCGTTTCTACTGGGTCCATAGTTGGTCAGTTCATTCTGTTACGGTACTGTGAGTAAAACATGGGAGGTGGACCCAAGTGCAGAACCAAAAGAAAGGATTTATTTAAAAGAAAGATCAAAATGCCAAAACACAAAAATACAAGGAGCCACTAAGACACTGGACACAGCCACGCCACGCCACGCCACGCCACGCCACG